TACTTTCCCATATAAACTGTATACAATTATCCCCGCCCCCCAAATGCGTTACTAGGATCACAATTGGACTTGCATTAAATTACGCATTAAAAAACACATCTGCTTTTGAAGTAAGAGGCGAGAACAGAAAAGAGTGCACAGAAGGAGGGGACACAAAGCCTGTCACTTCTGAGGAGAGGGTGGCAGTTTAGTGCCAGCTTCTCATGACACATTTGACTGTGTGCTCAGCTTCGGGCACCAGCGTTTGTTCTCACTTGCCCCGTGAGCAATAGATCCGATTTGCAGGCCTCAGGAACAGCCTCCCCCGAAGAAGGGGTGGCTTGTCTGCTTTCATCTTCAATCTTCACAGTTTCTTCCTGACGGGCTGGGTTCATTTGCCCGTGGAACACCGGAAGATTTTATAAATGCGTGCAAAAATGAGCTAGGTTCTGGACGTTTGCCTCTAAAATTAGACACATCTGGTTGATTTACTAGTTAAACCTGGAATCTCCTTGATGTTGAAAAGTTGCCAGATCACCTTGTTTTCTAGTTTCAGCCTGAAGCGTCTCATTTCGCAACTTTCGTAGGTTGCATCTAGGCTTGGCGTTTTGTCATTCTGAGCCATCTAAACACGATGTTAGTCTTATTGGGTTCTACAGGAATAATGCATTTTTAAAAAACAAAACCAAATCAACATTGTCATCATCATGCCTGCAGCAAAAAAGGAAAGAGAAAAACCCACTGTCTTACAAGTTGGCAATTGCTGTTGACAAACCATCGGTCTGGCATGAGGGTCAAGAGTTCGGTGCTAAGGTTGGCGGAAGGATTGTTTTGGAAATGTGGTTCAGGGCCATTGCCAATAGGTTGAGTCGAATTAGATCCAGTGGACCAGATATGTCTACCCTATGGACTGGGAGTATTTAGATTCTGGGGAGTGGTTGGATTGTGATCATGGTATGTTGCCTGTGGTCACAGCATTGCCACCAAATTTATAGAATCCCATAGATTCAAAGAGCTGGAAGGGACTTCAGTTCATGCGCGCGTCATTACCCTCTCTCCGCCCCTGATTCTTCTCCATCGTTCACCATCTCGGTGGCTGGAGCGTGCTTCCCTGACCCGGTGACGCTGGATTTGGTCACATGGCCTTCTTTGACATGGGGTGTGGTGGTCTGACCACACCTGAGGTCTGCTTGAGGATTGTCTCAGCCTTGTGCTCCAGCAAGGAATCTGTGAAATGATGTGGCCTCATGAGGAGGAATGGGTGTGTAATCTAAGCGACACCCCGGGGAGGCAGAGCGACTGCTTGGTGGATCAGAATACGGCAGGCCACAGTTTGTCCCTCTCTGACGAGGAACTGTCTTAGGGAAATGCCTCCTGGGAATGACCAAAGGACATGACTTACATGGTTAAATGTTTTAAAATCTGTTTTGTAAATGTTGCAATTTAGCCTTACGTTGCATTGTAAATTGCCTCCAAGAGTTGTGATAAATCTACTTGATTTGCTTCTGTGTTCATCTTAAAAATGAGAGCGGAGCAAGGGGAGGCATTAGAAAGAGGCATTAATGTTTGGGAAATGCTTAGCGCCTCTTCTGGTGACTACACTCCCGGGGTTTCGAATCCTCAGCGACCCTCTGTGCCGGTAGGGGATTGCTCGCCTGCCGCCACCACCACCACCGGACAGGCTGCCTGAGGCACAGCCCACCTCCCTGGTGCTTCGCAACCCCCAGGCTGTGAAACATTTGCCTGCAGACATTCTCTTACTCTTCATTACATATGTTTTTATGAAAGAACTAAACAGGAGGAATTTGCAATGAATAATTCATGTGTAATTGTTTTCAAAATATAAAGTTATTTTTCAAAGAAAGCAACCAGTCTATCTGTCTCAGAGACCCACTGCTGTTTCCATGTGGGCCTCAGCTTTCTGTCTAACAGTTGCACCACCCTGGGCTGGGACGGGCTCCTCCGCAGGGCAGAGCTGGGACAGGGCGCACGTGCAGATGGCACAGAGCTGCGGTAATTCCCACTCACACGTGCTGCCCGCCCAAGTCCCCAGGCAGGCCCTTGGGATGGTCTTGGAATCCAGCAGTGCTCCCCGCAAGGCCCCCAGGCAGCGTAGCAACACCTGCACGCCACTCCCGCTCCCCGCTCCCCCGCTCCCCGCTCCCCGCTCCTCGCTCCCCTGCACCAAGCCCATCTTGCAGCTCGTTTACTCCAGCTCACTGGAAGCCCAGCCGGGCCAAAGCCTGACCAGCCGGGCCGGTGCAGATTCAGTTTATTACTGACATAGACACCCAAAGGTGCCAGCTCCCTGGGTCCTAGTCCCACACATTGAAAGGGACAAAACCAGAACAGAAGGAGCTGACGACTGCGCTGCAGGTTGTGGGTACCCCGATGCAGCTAAGTGCGCTGAGTTTCTACCCCTGTAGTCCAGGGAGGCGGGCGCAGAAGGCTCCATGCCTCTTCAGATCCTGGGAGGCGAGGAGACCCAGCCACGACAGCCTCCCGGGGAGGTGGGGGGCACTGGGGGAGATGACCTCATAGCAGCTCCTACAGGCCCCTGTCTGTGGTGTTTCACCAAGGCCGGATTCGCCTTTGCCTGGGTGGCCGGCCCGGGTGCGTGCGAGGGCGGCAGGTGTCCGTGGCGGAGACGTTCCTCCACTGCCCGGCCCCAGTGACCCTGTTCCAACAGTGGAGTTCATCACAGTGGTTTGAACTGGGTTTGAACCCCAGCTCTGTCATTCCCCGATAGTGTGACTGCGGCAAGTCGCCTAAACTCTGCGCCGCAGTTTCCACGTCTTTAGCACGGGGTCAGTAAGAGCGCCTTTCATAGGGCTCATGATGAGGATTATGCGACACTCACAGAATGCCTGAGGGGAGCTCACGGTGACACCTGGCATGCAGCATGCAATGAGCGCTGCTGCGCGAGGATGGTAATGCAAGTGGAGATGATGGTGGCGACGGCGACGGTGATGCCTGTGATGATGATGGTAATGGTGATGGTGATGGTGAAGATGAAGACGGTGATGATGGTGATGATGCCAGTGATGGTGACGGTGGTGATGATGGTGATGGTGATGATGGTGGCGACGGTGATGGTGATGGTGAAGATGAAGACGGTGATGATGGTGGTGATGCCGGGGATGGTGACGGTGATGGTGATGAGGGGGGGGATGGGAATGTTGCCAC